GGGGAGCATGTTTAACAAGGTCGAGGGGTGCTGATGGGTTATGTCAACTTTCAATGTCAGGGCAGCTTGTTGGGTCTTACCCTGATATTTTACCTTGAACGTAAGCACTGGGTGTTGCTGCCCCCCCACCACAGGACGAGGATACCACCAACTACGATGCGTTCAAGGAGTGGGTCGGCGAGGTGCCAAGAGCAGCTAAGGGTGCAGCTGGCAAGCGCAGGCGGGGTGGCGGTGATGACGACGACCTGGGTGCGAGGTCGGGGCGCAAGGTTGGAAATAAACGGCAGAAGGGGAACAAGGGCGCAGGCTGGGGCAGGGGTGCAAGCAAGGGGACCACCAGAGGTGCGGGGAAGGGCGGCGCAGGCAAGGGAGGGCGGAGGGGGCGGACAGAGGAGGGTAGCTTGGAGGGTGGGTCGGATGCTGGTGAGGAAGAGGTCCTAGCCGCTGGCGCTGGGGAGGAGTCCAGCTCGGAGGACCCGGGCAAATATAGCGAAGCTAGCAGCAGCAGCAGTGGCAGTGGCAGCAGCGACAGTGGTGGAAGTGAGCAGTAACATGGCAGCAGTGATGAGCGCTTGGGGGTGCACACACCAGGTCGGCCCCAGGCAGGATGGGACAGACCAATCCCAATAGGTGCCGGTACATGTCATGCATCGGGGGTTTCATCCGTAGGAGTAGGCATGAACTCTGCAAGTGGTGGTGAGACTCCTTGGCGAGCACTTGCTGTATGGGGGGTGACATGAACGCTGTTTTCGAGGACGATGGTTGAGATGAATGCATCAGGCTGTCAGGCTGGCTGGTTGGCGTTGTGAGTCCAAAGCGCCTTGGTCCACAAGCACACTGAGACTTAAGCTACTTTGACAAGGGGTGTGCGTCCATTTTGAGGCTTGCCGCAAGTATTCACCAATCGTTAATTTAACATGCAGTAAGCGTCACATCGCAGAGTAATATCTGCCTGTGTAACCCGTAATCACTGGGTCTTCACCCGTAATTTTGCGTGTAATTGGTTACATGCGCCCGTAATTCACCTCCAGCACCGCGTAAAATCCACCCGTAATCACTGGGTCTTCACCCGTAATTTTGCGTGTAATTGGTTACATGCGCCCGTAATTCACCTCCAGCACCGCGTAAAATCCACCCGTAATCACTGGGTCTTCACCCGTAAGTTTGCGTGTAATTGGTTACATGCGCCCGTAATTCACCTCCAGCACCGCGTAAAATCCACCTGTAATCACTGGGTCTTCACCCGTAATTTCGCGTGTAATTGGTTACATGCGCCCGTAATTCACCTCCAGCACTGCGTAAAATCCACCCGTAATCACTGGGTCTTCACCCGTAATTTTGCGTGTAATTGGTTACATGCGCCCGTAATTAACCTCCAGCACCACGTAAAATCCACCTGTAATCACTGGGTCTTCACCCCTAATTTTGCGTGTAATTGGTTACATGCGCCCGTAATTCACCTCCAGCACCGCGTAAAATCCACCCGTAATCACTGGGTCTTCACCCGTAATTTTGCGTGTAATTGGTTACATGCGCCCGTAATTAACCTCCAGCACCGCGTAAAATCCACCCGTAATCACTGGGTCTTCACCCGTAAATGTTCACCTGTATCCTTGTGCTCAAATTACGGGACCCGTAACACGTTACGGGTCCGTAACACTGTATCCTTGTGCTCAAATTACGGGACCCGTAACACGTTACGGACCCGTAATTTCTGTCAAATTACGGGTGGATTGACCCAAAATTACGGGTAAAATGACCCCCCTTTTCCCAGAGTGTGGAACAGGTCACAGGTGAAGGTTGATGAAGAACTTGTGTGTATAATTGCAGGCCAAGACAAGGTACTGCTGTTGCTGTGATGATTTTGGTAGCAGCCTCCAGACTTGTAAAGAATAGAGACAATAGATGCCTGTACAGGCCAGCTGGCTGTGCACTATACTGCACAACTCCACATGATGAGCAAGTGAGGTGACCAGGGCGACCCAGACTGTTGTGTGTAATACATACATATGTATATAATTCCTGACGAATGTGGTTTTGTGCCTACCCATGCAGTACAAGCTTCTATCCCCAATGATGGCAAATAGATGCTGATGGCATGAATATTGAAGTCAGACAGCTTTCCAAAAAAAAGAGAATGTGTGATTTAACAGTGGACAGGGATCATGTAAAAGCTCATAACATTTACAGCGTCTGAACCTCAAAACAGCAATTAAAATCCTTAAACAGCAGTTCAGCAAATTATCTAATGGCAACAGCCATTAACATGATGGAACTTCCTTTTAGCACGTCCCTGCTCGTAACAGCTTTCAAGGCCTGTCAGCAACTACAGCCCTTGGCAACACTTAACAACTTAAGTGAATTGAACAATTGCTAACAATTAGCTTCCCAAAACCCTAACAGCCGTCAAAAATTCTTTCTCAGCATCTGGGTGACCCAACCAGAATGTAACATCCTGTCAACAATATCCTGTTGTGGCAGAAAGCGCTCTGTTACAGGTCCTTACAGCTGCTAACAGTCCCTAGAATCAGACAACTGTTAACAGTGTGGGCTCCAGGTATATGTCAGTCACAGGGCCAAACAGGACAAGACAGCCTCTAACCCAGTGTCTAACTGGCTGTTATGCCACGTTGACAACTATCGTCAGCAGCTGATAATGAGCCCGGCTGACAGCCCCGCCTAAGAAGTTAGACGCTGTTAGACCCCCTATGAGTTGGTAGGGTCCTTTACTCCTGCCCCTTTAGTCACCGACACCACCCGTGGCGAACAACTCAAAACGCACTCATACACCGCTGGATGACAATGTTCTCTTGCGTAAAATCTCCGACATGCCTGTTGGCACTTTCTTTAACCTGCTTTGCCAGCAGGGGCTGCCTTCCACCGGCGGCCCCTTAGACGCTAAACCCCATCCCCCAAGTACGGCCCAAGCAACGCAGGGTTCCAGCTCAGTTTCAAGCAGCTTCGGGGAGGGATCTTCCACGCTTCGGCCTGAAGCCGACAAGAGCGTGCAGCTCGCCTGTTTCCCGGCGGCAGCACCGGAGCTGGTCACGCCATCTCCCCTTGATTCTGGCCTGGCATCTTTTGTCCTGGCGGCCCAAGGGCGCGCCAAACCCTCCGACCACCTTGGCGCCGGTTTCGAGTACCAGGTAAGTGGGGTTAAGGGTACGCCTCCGTGCACTCTGTCGGAGCTCTCGCCTGACGAGCGGGAGCAGGCTTTAGCTGTTAATCCATCGGCGGCGCGTTACATGGGGGAACCCGAGGGTCTTTACTACTACGAAAGGGGGGCGTGTGTATTGGTTCAGGGGCAGCATGACAGGGCAGCTCCGGAGGCGTTGCGTGATTTTGCCGCAACGGTTAACATAATGCCAACCAGTGTAGCAAAAGCGCTTAAGCTGCCCATAGTAGAGACCACCACACGTTTGTCCACCTCGTTGCAGCTAGGGGGTGCTGTGCGAGGAGAGTTGGACACCTCAAACATCTTTTTTGAGCTTCTTCCGGGCACGCCGCATGCCATGCGGGTCCTGCTCACTAAAACCCTGGTTGTTGACGAACGACCCGACCTGTTCCAGCTCTTAGTGGGTAATGAACAGGCAAAGTTCTTGGGGGACGCTCTGGAATCATATCCCGAGCCTAGGCTGCACTTTTATCCCAACTTTTTGCAGCACCCTAATTATAAGGTAACGATGCCCATGCGCAAGCTTGTGAAGCACAAGCCTTCTCAGCATGGTTCACTTGTGGGAGTTGCGTGGGTCAGCATGGCCATTCCCAGCACCTCTCCTCCCGGCTCCGAGCTGGGGGGAGGGGAATCCACCTCTGACATCCCTCTCTTTCCGCACCAGTCCTCTCATTCCTTTGAGCAGGGCACGTCAACCGCCTACATCAACAACACTAGGCGAGATTACTGGGGCAACTTTGCGTCCCTGTTATCAGTTGGTGCGAATCAGTTCGGTTCCACTTTCCTTTTGCTTCTTACGTATGCCACTTTCTTTGTGGACGCATTTAACATGTGTTTTGCTGTACGCACGTGTTTTGTTCGGTGCTACAGTCGTATGACGCGACACTGGGGACAGAGGGAGGTGGGACCCCCACACCGTCCGTGATTTGATGAGTTTACCCAGCACGCGGGTTCACAGGCGTGACCAGTGTCCAAAGGCCCAAGACATCGAGAGGATTTGGCCTTTAATCGAAACGAGGGACTTCACCGAGATTCTTCACCCACTGAGTGACAAACGAATAGCGGAAAGAAGACTGTCCCTCTTATCTTCAGGAATGATAAAAACCCCTTCGGTGGTGTCGATTAGCATGCCCAAGTAGCGGATCCTTTGCTGGACTGCACCCAGCATGGACTTATTCCGGTTGACTATGAAACCAAGGGATTCGAGTTGGGACACCACCTCCGCCCTCCATGCTACCAGCTGAGCTGCATCCTGGCCGGCATGAGCTTGGTCATCTATATAGCCAGTGCAGCGCCAGCCACGTGCACGCCAGGGACGCATGACCTCTCACATGAGTTTGGTGAAGGCCCAGCATGCGGACGCTAAACCGAATGGGAGCTGGGTGAAAATGTAAAACACTCCGCGCCAGCAAAACCCCAAGTATTCCAGAAGGATGGGTCGATGTCTACATGGTGAATTACCATGTAGACAGCGTTATTTTTTGCGGAATATATTCCGAATTCGGAATAAAAAAATGTTCGTGGTCCTGAAAGTTAAGAATAAATAATGTTCCAACCGTACAAGTTCATTCCTCCAGCCAAAAATGGACTGTCCATGCCAAAGCCGCTAGAATCTTACAGGAGACATACATGTTACCCATATCATAGTACTTTAATGCCACGTATACTGTTAGGAAGGTCACGCCCGAAAGTCAACGAGGAATCGACTGTTTCTGACCGGACCAAGCGCTGCAAAACATTTCGGACCCGAAGCTCCCAAAGCATTGAAGGCCATTAAAGCAGATACTAAATTTCATTGAAGCCATTAGCGACGTTAATGAAGACGGTGTAGGGGTCGTAGGCAATGTGGACGCAATGCTGCAGCCAGCCGACGACAATGACGCCACTCCGATTGTCAACAGCGAGCGGGCCAAACACCAATGTTCCTCATATGGATACAATCGCGATGGGCCAGGAAACAGGTTGCGTTTGGTGGTTCCGGGTCATTGCTGCTATGCATCATTACTTCTGCAAACTGGAAAGTCGTGTAGTGTTATCTTTCAACGTGATGCAAGACGAACGATGGTGAACGAACTCTATTCGATCAGTGCTTGAGAGATTGGTGTGCGCGTGTTGCGACATTCCCCAAACCCGGCATTTGCACTAACTAAACTGTAACTCATCGGGGGGGGTCGCCTTACAGATTCGGAATACCTTTATTCCCGCGACTAAAAACCTATTCCTTCGTTCGGACTGGAAAATTAACCGGCAGAAATGAAAAAAATAACACTGATGGTGATAGCCACTCTTGAGGTCGATTGTAAACATACAATCATTCGGGAGCAGCCAGCCCGGCACTGCTCTGAGGTCTTCATAGCAGAACTCTGGAATGGAAAGATGTTTGTTCACTGACCGCCTGTCCCAAATGAGCCGGCACTTAGTTGTTTGCTGCACGACATCCAAAGGACAAACTGCTCATGGTTGAGTCGGCCAAGCTCTGGCAGTGCCCGAGGCCACTAATTCTGGGACGGCTTGATTGATGAAGGTTGCATGCTCGTCTGCAGAGGCATAATCCTAGCCAAAAGACGGAGGTGGTGGGGACCCCTTCTCCCATCGCAGGGGAAACCCACCAACGACCCAAGAAAGGACAAGAGCATTAGTCACCCACACCACACCCACCTTCCAGGCAAATATGCAGCGTTGGAGCCTGCCATGCATTGGGACGGGTGCTGGAGATAGCGAACGCGGGACCTCAGAGGATGACTGATCTCCACCAGCGAGTTTAGCTGTGTATTCGCCTTTCTCATCCCTCCAAAGCCCAGGCGGTTTGCCGGGCCCACCTTTCTCATTATCCAAGGACCGCACTAGTTGTTTCCTGCACAGAATTGGCGCGGTGTTGGTGGGTGCCGGAGTGACCACTGGGTGTCTGGTTGTGACCACCTGAACCGCTAGCCGTTTTCCTGGCTGAGTGTCACTTGACTGGCCCGCTGCAAGGTCCGGTGCAGCACTGGAAGACTTCTATTCCCCAAATTGCCGCGGGTTTCTCTCCAGAGCACGTTGCACGTCTTCTAATGCGACAGGGTTGGGCTCTGTGTCTTCACTGATCAGGCTAAGGAAAGCATCCACATCGGTGTAGGCCATGGCGTAGTTGAGGTTGTACGGTCACTTATGTGACTCGCTCCGCAGTCACATAAGTGACCGCGGAGCGAGGTGATGAGAGGCAAACGGCCTAAGCAAGACGAAACTGGAGAGAAGAGGTTGATACAGCGGAGAGCCTGGCCACACCTTGGCGCATTCCAGAACCGAGAAAAAACCGAGGTGCGAGATAACCCCTAGGTCACAGCTATGGATGTCCTCCTCCACCGGCCGGCAAGCCGCCTCACCACAAGAAAGAAAAAAAAGCTCAGAACAGCAACCTCACCACAGGTCATAATTGAACGACAAGAAAAGAGCCACGGTGATAGGAAAGCGGCTGATTAACCTGCCTGAACGTCTGTGAACGCCAGCAAGAGATGATCTCCCTTCCAAGGGGCGGAAACAGAAGATGACCGTGGAAAATTCCCTTGATAGACGGCCTGAGCCGGCCTTGAAACGGCTGTAATGCTCCCTGGCGTGAAAAAAAAACGAGCCAAGAAAGACGTGCACGGGCGTGATCATTAGTAACTCCCAAAGAAGACCAAGGCCTTGATCGTGAACCAATGGCAGCTTGACAACAAAAGTCGTGGTGTGCACGCTTGCGCACAGTGATGGGCGCACACGGGCGCATGGTGATGGAGCCTAAGCGCACGCGGGCACACAGTGATGGGGCCGAAGCGCACACAGGCGCACAATGATGGGGCCGAAGCACACGCGGGTGCACAATGATGGAGCCGAAGCGCACGCGGGCGCACAGTGTTGGGGCCGACGCGCAGGCGGGCGCACAGTGTTGGGGCCGAAACGCATGCAGGCTATCGTGCAATTCACAGAAAGACAAAAACGTCCGAGACAATGGTGTACGCATGCGGGCCTGTGTACAAAGCTCAACGATGCCGCTTTTCGTCCCGTGCATTACGGCCTGCACCATTATCGCGCCTCTGGTAGTCATGTCCAGAGCCGCCGCACGCTCCACCTCCTCGTGAGCCACCTGCTCCATCGCTGCCTGTGCCGTGCACTCTGGGAACCAGCTTCCCTTCGATACCCGGGAATCCCTTCATCTAGTTGTCGTTTCGTACTCATTCGTGCTCATTTCATAACGAAGGGCTGAGGGGCCTTCAGAGCATATCGACGGAGTTCGGCTGAAATGGCCACTTAGCATGCAAAAGCCTTGTAATATCGCCATGCCAGGGATTGTTTTAATTACTTATGACTGTATGCATTGTTCCAACGTGAGTTATCATGAATTCCGAGCTCATCCCACAATGAAGGGCTGAGGGCCCTTCAGAAGTAGTTTGGCTGAAGTGGTCGTAATTCACGGATTCCTTTATAGAAGCCTTCTGATATCGTCATGCCAGAATTGGTTTTAGTGAGAACATGACTTAGCATGATCATGCATAGTGTTTTTGGAGCTACGTTCCGCAAAACAAGTACAAATGCGCACAGCATCTGTTTGCAAGCCTGGCTGGCTGTGACGGTATAATAACAGCTAATAACTATGGCCCCTCCAGCTAAAACATATTCCCGTTACCTCTGCGACGGCCGCTCACCAAATTCGAATTTTCGTGTGCGTCCTGTGGACGCAATGATCAGTGCCAGTCTCGTGCATATTATCACATCACCAGACAGCAGTGCGTCCAGCTTGTTAATAATGGCAAAGAGGCCGTGGCTCCTAACGAGATGGTCGCAATTTCTCACTGTTGCAATACATTGCCACGTACTCTGTATGGTTAAAACTTACGACGTCCGATATGCTGCAGATGAATATCCTCAGCAACAAGCTCCAGTTGCGGTGGTTGGTGCAGGAGCACAGGCTCAAGCTAACCAGCCGGATGAAACAGGTACAATAAACGAAACTAGCAGACACGTCACATGTAGACTATCAGCGATTTGAAGCTAGGTCCCCCCTGTCAGTACTGTCAGTACACTAGTGTAGGCGCCTCGTCTCCAGTGGCGGTGGACATGGAGTGGAGTCCGGAGTCCGCCGAAGGGCCAGGCGGAAATGCAGTGGAGCCCCGACAACCTAACAGGTGAGACCATAGTCCATAAGGTATTATAGAAATGTTTCTCCTCCTTTTGCATCATCGGGGGATGTGAACACGCATGGAAGAAGGGAGGAAGATAGCAAAGCTGGATATGGGGGGGAGAGAGGAGAGGGGAATGCGGGGAAGAGATGGCTGTTTCCTATAGGAGGTGGGGATGCGGGGGAGAGAGAGGAGAGGGGGATGCGGGGCGGAGGTGGAGATGGTGGCAGTGGCGACGGTGGAGGAGGTGAAGGGGGAAGGGATGAAGGGGGCGGAGGTGCTTGGTTGACGGTGGGGATGGCGACGCCCTCCCCTGCACCCCCCTAGCCCAACGACGCCCTCCCCTGCGCCCCCATAGCCAAACGACGCCCTCCCCTGCGCCCCCATAGCCGTACGCTGCTCTCCCCACGTGTCCGGCCGCTCCCCCACCCGAGCGGCCGGCAGCACACTTTAGCGCTTGCTCTTTGACTCCGTCGACTAACGTACCTTGCTTGGTCTTGTCCTGGAACTTGTCCTCGTTGCACAAAACGTCCGCACATTGGCGCCATCTTGGACAGCTGTACCTTCCTGTTGCTGCGATTGCTCCCTGTTCAATGTCGACATCTCCCTTAGATGAAAAGAGAAAACAGGAACTTGAAACAGAAGGCAATGACTAGGTAGGGCTTGAATAGCGAGCACGATGCTCTATCCGAGATTGATTAAGCAAAAAACTGTCAGCTAGAAGCTGAAGCTCTACTGAGTGAAAGGCAGAATGCCTGTAACGAAAGAGCTGAAGCGATTATTACTCGCCATTCCAATACAGTTGTACGACAGTCGCACAGAACCAGACTTAGAGACTCCAATCGCTTCACTCCGTCGTATCTAAGTCAACAAATGTGTGGCTTCTCTGTCCATGCTAAGGTGCTGTTTTAATATGGTTGCACAATATCGTGCCATGTGATGCCGCCTCTGCGGCTTTCCTGTCCCGCCTGTTTATCCATATGTCTGTCCCAGCTGTTTAGCATAGTTTCTGCTGGCACACTGGCACCCTGTTGTTGCAGCTGCGCGCGTAGCATCGCGGCGTGAATGGCTTGGTCTTGGTCTTGAAGCGGGGCCCCCTGCACCGCCCCTGTATTGCAGTCCTTTGGAGATTTCGACCTGGGAAGGCTCCCCTGCTCGTTAAAATAACACTCTTTTCCTTACAAAGGTTGTTTGCAATGTTTCTTTCTTTTCTTTTTTCCTTCCAGTATCCCGTATGATAGATTGAATGGCCATCCGCTGCTGTGCTCTTTTTGCGTTGCAGACTCAACTCGGGGAGGAGACTGGTTGGTTTGTCGGTTTGTTCGCCGCAAAGTGCCCCCGGGAGCCATTGCTGGGCCTCTGCTGTGACACTTAGGTTTTGGTTGATTGTTACTCGTCAGGTGCTCATCCGGTTCTTAGCTGCTGGTGTCACCGCAAGTAATAAGAGCAAACGCTGCTTAGTGACGTGAAGGCACACTGTGCCAAACATGCAATGTTCATGCTGAAACCATGTTTATGTGTATGGAGATGACATTGGTGGCCCGGTACTCCTTGTGAACACATGGACATGACCGCACCGTGTATCAAATTATAGCGCTGATTGCGTGAGCGATCCATGTTATGGCTTCTTGCTTGGAATCACTTCCTGACAGAAATTCATTCGGATTCGGGCGAGGGTCAAGAACGCTTCCTTATTACCCTGTGACACGTCTTTGGCTCGTACTATAATCCTGACATCGGGTTTTTACAAATCTGTAAAACATGCTTGCTACATATGCTCCAGCAGGCGCATCCGCCATATAAGTTTGCTCGCTCATTGCTGCGGCCTTATGAGCGGCAGCATTATGCCATATGTATGGTTCCTATCACTGCCAGGTGCTGGAGTAAGAAGCTAGGCTTGTACAAGAATTATTATTCTGTACACTGGGGAGCTCTTTTTCACACCCAGAAGCCAAGCAACACGACCAGGCCTCACTACCAGGCTTATAACGGAACTACTCGGGTAAGCGGCCAAATGCTTTTCCTGCCAACAAAGTGGTAAACGCTGGCTAGCTTACATCCCAAACACAGGTGGTGGTGTAGTGGGGCGGGGGTTAACAGATCGCTATTAGTCTTGGTCAATGGCATGCTATGTTTTGCACGGAAATCTGGTGACCACAGAAATCTGGTGAAGTATGAGTAGTACATAGTTTGAAAAAGTGGAGTGCACGCAACACAGCTATGATTTGCAAGCAGCGTGCGCGCGCTGAGTTCTACATAAGGTCTGTCAGGCACATCTGGACACATATGCATACGCCAACCCCTTTTACCCTGTATTCTTACCTCCCCGTTAGGGGATGAACAAACTTGTTCCATCCTGGCGACGCAAGTATTAGTTCAAATACATTTTTATTGCTGCTCATTCCAAGTGTACACAGCATACATAGAGCACATTAGAAAAAGACTGAAGGAGGGCTGAAAAACCCTTTCTCCACAAGCTTGGCGCAACAAGGAACAGGCAACACAAATCTCCCGACAGCGGCAGATACACCTTGACAGCGTGGAATCCGCTGCCGCAATCATCCGAACACATTGGGCCCAGGAGGGAACTGTCGCATAAACCTCCGAACAACATTCTGTCTGCACAGCGCTGCTGAGGGGCACACAGGGGCCAAGTTGCCCCTCAAATTACCCAGCCAGCCAGCCAGCCAGCCAGCCAGCCAGCCAGCTATCCTCTCAAAACGCGCCAGGCTGCAGCCGGCGTACTATCGTTTGTTACTATTATTATGTTGTTGCTGAAAGCACCTACATTTATGATCCAAGTTCTAACATTGGCCATCAGAGCTATGCGCATCTTTCATGAAGCCGCAGTAGCATTTCATGAAGGATTGTTGATATACACTTGCAGGTTTGCACGGCTGGCAGACAGTTTTGCTTAAACACACAAATTGTGGCCCTAAAGTAAAATCCAAGCCATGTAATTTGGCCAGGCTGGCAAGGTCGTCGGATGCGGCCAATGCAATACACGATTTCGGTCTGGGATGGCACCGATGATCATCCTCTGTTGTGTTACGAGTGGCTGATTGGCGGCCCCTTTGGACTCCGGTCCTGACCCAATTGGTGAATTTTATTACCTCCCGCCCGAAACCCCCTGATCCCCTGAAATTAAAGTGGGAGGTGCGGGCTTAGGTGGTGCGGATGAAGTTGCAGGCTGTGCAGCGGTAACAGAAGCCTGCCAGAATCAGCGGATCTAGGGGCTGGTTGCTAAACATCTGCAGCTGGTGCTGGTGCTGGTGCTGGTGCTGGTGCTGGTGCTGGTGCTGGTGCTGGTGCTGGTGCTGGTGCTGGTGCTGGTGCTGGTGCTGGTGCTGGTGCTGGTGCTGGTGCTGGTGCTGGTGCTGGTGCTGGTGCTGGTGCTGGTGCTGGTGCTGGTGCTGGTGCTGGTGCTGGTGCTGCTGCTGCTGCTGCTGCTGCTGCTGCTGCTGCTGCTGCTGGTGCTGCTGGTGCTGCTGGTGCTGCTGGTGCTGCTGGTGCTGCTGCTGCTGCTGCTGCTTCTGCACCTGCGGCCACTTTTGCAGCTGCGGCTGCTTTTGCAGTTGCAGCTGCTTTTGCCTCTGCGGCTGCTTTTGCAGCTGTGGCTGCTTTTGCCTCTGCGGCTGCTTTTGCAGCTGCTGCTGCTTCTGCAGCTGCAGCTGCTGCTGCTTCTGCAGCTGCAGCTGCTGCTGCTTCTGCAGCTGCTGCTGCTTCTGCAGCTGCTGCTGCTTCTGCAGCTGCTACTGCTTCTGCAGCTGCTGCTTCTGCTTCTGCTGCTGCTGCTGCAGCTTCTGCAGCTTCTGCATCCTCTGCAGCTGGTGCGCATGCGGGAGTGTCTTGATCGCCTACAACAATGGAAATATGTGAATCACTCCTTTGCGGCCCCGATGTGTTGTGCTGCTCCTTCTCCACCGCTCTGGCGTACATGACCCAGAGGTACATTACACAAGCTATCGAGACCATGACCATGTTCCAGATAAAACCTGCCATGTCAGCGACCAAGCCAATTTCAGGTGGGATACCCAGCTGCAGGTTTCGCACTTGCGGCAGTGCAAACAGGACTGTTGCGGCAAGGGTTGCATCATCAACGGTGACATCATCCCGCCTATACACCGTATAAAGAGCCCGTGTGAGGACGACGAAGCTCAGGAACCACATAAGCAACAAAATAAAAATGGAAGCGGAGCGTGACGTTTTCGTGCGCTTGCCCAAAATTATGAATAATTCCTCGGACAGTTCTTGGTTGCCCGTCCTGGAGGCTTGGTAGCGTGGATCTGGCTCTCTCGCATAGTAACTCATACCAGAGCCCTTCTGGTTGACAGCGATCACATAGGGAACCGGGTAAGTGCCCTTCTTGGTCGTCAAGGATATGTGCACACGGATGTAGAGCCTGTACCTGTGATCGGTAAGAATTGAAGTACAACGGCACATGTGGACCTGTTACATGCAACAGTTGTTAGGATTTCAAAATCCGCTCTCGATATTCTGAAATAAAAACTACTTGCCCGAAGGTACTGGGGATAGAAGCTGCAAGGAAGCACTTAGCGGTTATAACATTTGTTGACTTTGATGCGACGGAGCATCGGAGTCTCTAAGTCTGGTTCTGTGCGACTGTCGTACAACCGTATTCGAGTGGCGAGTATGTCACGCTTCAGCTCTTTCGTTATAGGCATTCTGCCTTTCACTCAATAGAGCTTCAGCTCGTAGCTGACAGTTTCCCGCCCACCTTCCCCCACGGTGTTGCGATTGTTATCCCCCTCGCCACCCCCTTTCCCTTCTTCGCTGGTCAATCGCAGACACCTCCGCGCCGGGCTCTGCCAGCGGCGGGCCGGTGGCAGATGCACTCTGAGGAGCGGCTGGACAGTCGGCGGGCCGACAGGGGGAGGGTTGGGGAGGGTTTCATTGAGGGGGGTCTTCCTAGCCTAGTAGTGCGGCCTTGGGAGCTCTGGAGGGGCAGTGCTTGCCACCGGGGGGCTCAGTCCGGGCCTTTTTCTAGGATTCAGGAAGTTAGGTCGCAGTGCATGAGTTTTTCCAGGTGGCCGTTGGGTGTCCTTTGGGTTCGCGGTGTGTGTCGTTCTGTCGCGCGCATGTTGCCCTGTAGGGGTGTGTGGGTGGGCCACGTGGTGGCTGCGTGGCGGCCGGTGGGCCGTAGTCACGCGGACGTGGTTGGCTGGGCTGTGTTCTGCTGCAGTGTAAGGGCCCATGGCAGCTGGTCTCCCCGCTTCCCGTCTCTACCATTCTTTGCACGGCCAGCCAGCACGTTCAGCAGAGCCACGAGAATACGGTTAAGGGAGACAGGATCACAGAACAAATAGGTGTTGTGTGACCGTTTGTAGCAAGCTACATTTCCCTTTTAATATATTTAAGCTATTAAAGCTTAATCACAGTAACGGTACGGTCACATCGTTACGAACCGTACTCGTTAACTGTACGAAATCACTTTCTGTTATGCTATCATAACGTAGCGTACGACATTTGCACTACAGCAAGACTCCAGGAATGAAGATGGCGGCAGGTGGGCTGCATTTAAGCCACCCTGGTGAATTGCTTCGGCCAGACACTTTCGTATCACTATACTCGTGTTTGGATTTCAAGACCGTTCTCGATGAATGTCTTCGAACTCCGACTTTCCGTATCGCTTCTCCTGGTCGAGACCCTCTTCTTCCACGGCCTTGCAACCCAACACTTCCGCAGAAAAGCGTAAGGGACGGCTGTCACACCGTTAGCGTACGTCCGGTGCAGGTTGCAATCCATGGAAAGTACATAACCGAGCTAACGGTATCACATTACCCACATAATAATACCCATAGTAATAGTATGAGTTTTTGGGCGGGGCCTCAGGGTGAAGCGCCCAGGGGGGCCCCGCCCTGTAGGATTGCCAACGCCTCTCGGGCTAAATTTAATCTCAAAAGGTGCCGCGTATCTCATAATTGAATTTTGAGATGACGGCACTTGAACACCCAGCTTGCATTACCACGGGCATTCCGACTTGCCACCAGCAGGCCGACAAAATTGCTTTCATTTTTCTATGAAGTACGCAAGCTGTTCGTTTGTACATTTACTTTCGCCAATGCTCGCCCCTACCACATAGACTTGCCCGGTTACCGGGCAATTGTGGCCATTAACGGGGTATGCGGAGACTGGTTACCAGGTGGATGGTTACCGGGGGTCGTTAATGGGGGTGGTTACAAATGGGTTACCGGGTTGATCGTTACTGGGCAGTAACCGAGGCTGGTTACCGGTTCGAAGGCTATCGTTTTTCACATTAATTTACAGCAGCAAGGACAGCCCACTATGGCCGGCACTCAGCTCAGTGTCTTTTTTTAAGTAGCATATTCCTTTAAAGTAATAAACAGGCCACTTTGGCGTTTGGAAAAAAGGAATGAACTGAGGCCGATCCTCAAAGCCCTCAGCACTCCTCCTCTGGCGATCTAAGTGATGCCCAGCACTGTGCTGCGTAAGCATGATGCTGCGTTTGCGGCGGTCCTGGATGATGTCCATGCCGAGGTAGTAGCGCGCCTCTCCAAGGTCTTGTACTGCGAAGCAACCAGCTATGGCCACCTTGGCGGCCACGACCCATTGCAGGTTGTCCGCCGCCACCAGCATGTCATCAACGTGCACGAGCACATAAATTGAGCCGTCGGACCCGCGCTTGACGAATAGTGCGGGGTCGGACATAGACGGCTCATAGCCTAGCTTGCCCAACTCCGCCGCCAGTTTCTCGTACCAGCAGCATGGGGCTTGCTTGAGGCCGTAGACGGACTTTAACAGCTGGCACGCCTGCGTCGGGTCGCCATTGCTGTAACCTGGTGGCTGTCGCATCCACAGCTCCTCTGCCAGGTCGCCGTCCAAGAAAGCCGTTTTGACGTCCATCTGATGGACCGTCATACCCCTGGCCGCTGCCACAGGGAGGCTGCATGCGTGGTGGGCGCAAACAGCTCTCCGTAGTCTATGCCTGCACGCTGTTCGAATCCCTTCACCACCAAACGCGACTTATAGCGTACCTCACTGCCAGGCTCCTGTTTGATCTTGTAAACCCAGCGGCAGTCCAGGATGCGTGCACCGGGCGGCGGCGTGCCCGACTCCCATGTTTTGTTGGGGAGCTGCAACAGGATCTCGTCATCCATCGAACTCTCCACTTGTCAGCTTGCGGACTCGCCACCGCTTCCTCATAATTGCGCGGCTCCTGCACCGCGCAGTTGCCTCCGCCGTCCGCACTGCCGTCGGGCATGTTAAGCTCCTGCACCACGCTATTGCCTCCACCGTTGGCACTGCCGTCGGGCATGTTAAACTCAGCACGATCGGTGCTATCCGACGCTTTGTTAAGCAGCAGTGGACTACCCAAATCTCTGCCGCCGCCGCTGCTGTTGTTGGCCAGGCTGACCGAGGCCAACGGTGGGTGCAGCGGTTGCCGTTGACTGCGAGTGTTGGGGTGGAGGGGGGGCGCTGGGTTCACTGGGGGCGGGGCATCCACTTGAGTTGGCGGTGTGGCAGGCTGTGTTGAGCCGCCGACGGGGTTGCTGCCGCCAGGACGGGCGGGGCTGGTGCCGAAGGGGGTGCCCGCCCGTTGAGATGCCAGGCCGCGGTGGTCGTCATTGAAGGTGACGTCGCTGCTAACAGTCACCTTGCCGTCAATAAGGATGCGGTGGGCGGCCGTGTTGCGCTCCGGTCCAAGGTAGGTTCCCGCCTTCGCGCGGGGACCGAGCTTATCCTGCTGGCTGGCTGGGATGCAGACGTAGGCCAGGCAGCCAGAGGTGTGCAGGTGGCTGACGTCGGGGGTGACGCCATGTTAAGCTGCCCACAGCGTGGCCTCCCGGCCCTGAGAGGGGGCCACATTGTGCAGGAGGTTGGCGTAGAGCACAGCCTCCGTCCAATAGCTGTCCGAGAGGGCAGCATCGTACAGCATAGCCAGCACACGGTCGAGGAGCGTGCAATTGAGCTGCTCCACTGCTCCATTCTGCTCCGGGGTGTACGGTGCCGAGTGGGTGTGCACAGTGCCGTGCTGGCGTAGCCACTGCTCCAGTTGCTCGGCGACATACTCACCACCGTTATCACTATGAAGTGTGCGTACCTGTGCATGGTTCGGGTGGCGTCACCATGTAGTCCTGCAGCGCTTCGCCCACTTGGTTTTTGCTAACCAGCGTGCGAACAGAGGCGGACAGACCGGAGGCACCGTCCAGCGGTGTTAGCAAGTAACGTGCCCCACCTCGGCCCGTGGTCGGCATGGGCCCTGAAGTAGCTGGTACACAGTACGGCTCTACATATACGCGCATCTATCGCGGCCAGCTACTACATTTGGCATCGAGTCCTCATGAAATCTAACAATTTCGAAGTCGTCGGTTCAACCTCCGTCTGATGTTATAATCAGATTGTCTGTGCCCAAAAACCTGAAGACGGCAAGGGCACACGTGAAAGTGAGCACAAGACGTGACGTGGACTTGAACACCCCAAAGCCCTAGGATAGGAGAAGGTAGGCACAGGCTGGTGGTATACGAGGCTCTATGTTATTACCCTATTACAGAGGACAGTTTTGTAACTGGCCGCGTGACAAATGACCTGGAAAATACCCGGTAACGGTGCCTGATTACCGGCCCGGTAACAGGCATTTTTTGTAATTGACTGATTACCGACCCTAGCCCGTTAACGACCCAGTAACCTTATAGCCTGGTAACCGAGGCCGGTTATTAGTCGTTCCCATTATTGGGTCAATAACATGCGGTAGGGTCGGGGCTCGGTGTGTCGGCTTCCTGCATCCCGCACTCCGACAAGCATAGCTCCCGCAGCATCAGCACTGCTGCAACACTACCCATTAATTGTCACACGTGCCGCCCTAGCTACCGGCCTGTACAGATGCAGGGGGCCCCCGCCCTTTTTCCGGCTTCAAGGAAGCCGACATAGGCTTGTCTGTTAAGATGTTGATGTTGTTACAGGGTGGTTAAGCTTCACCAGTGGCCTCCTTCCCGAGGCAACTCCCTGCTCTCCCCTGCTAGAGGGGCACCCTAATCCATTCACCCCATCCGACTTCAGAGTGTACTCTTTGAGTTTGGCAACTCACCACCGGCATCCAACCGAATCTAGCGGATCAGCGGCACATCAACTTACTTCCTGGTCAGCTCGCAAGTTGATTTTATCACGTCCTACATCGTCCACAAGATGGGGGGCCACCTCCCATCTTCTGCTTCTGCCGCTGTTTAGCCGAATCATAGACACGGAGCAGACAGCCTTCCTCACGGGCAGGCGAATTGTGGATAGTGTGCTCCTCCTACAACTGCTGCCCGCGCTTCTCCGTGTAGAAAGCCGTACTTGTATGGCAGCTTTTCTTGACTTCTACAAAGCCTACGATACTCTTGATAGAGATTTTCTGTTCGCGTGTCTGTGTGAATTGGGGGTAGGCGCAGGTTTTATGGCGTGGGCTCAACGTCTGCATACCAGTACACGATCAGCGGTGATTGTCAATGGTTACCTTTCCTCCTGGGTTCTTATAGCGGCTGGCGTCGGGCAGGGGTGCCCGCTTGCCCCCATCCTCTACCTCGCGCCAGCACAAACATTACTAACTTGGCTTCAATATCAACAAATCGGCATAAGTTTGCGTGAAATTCACCTCGCGGCGTCACAGTATGTGGATGATTGTGGAGCCTTTTTGCGTCGCCTAGCGGATATTCCCGCTTCAAAGCGGTCATGGATGTTTTTCACGCAGCCTCGGGACAAAAGCTCAACAATCGCAAGGTTGAGCTCTTACCGCTTGGCACGTTCTCCCGCAATACAAGACCAGCGGACACACCACCAGCGAATGCAATCGGCATCGATTTTGTGATGCCGGGTACTAATGTGACGGATTTGGCATTTTCTATGGGAGACTTAGAAATAGCACGCGAGTTGGATCGACTGCCAGTTGTAGGTACAGAAGTTGGCGGTTTCAGGGTGCTTTCAGTAGCTACAACCCTAGGGGTTCGCTTCGCAGGTAGGCCCTCGCTCGAACAGCAGTCGGTTCCGTTCACTCCAGTTCGGAATAGCCTGGAGCTAGTTGCTGGGATGCATTTATCAGCTTTTGGTCGGGCTTTTGCGGTGTCAGGTTATAGCATTAGTAGAGTCCTGTACCACTTGGAGTTTATGGGGGCACCTAGCAACACCTCGATGAATAACCTGCTGGGAGACTGCGCGGCCATAATTGACAGGCGTCAGCCGCCTTGTGCGCGAGACGATGCGGAACGATGACGTGCCCCGGGTGTAGGAGTCGCATACATGCCGTTTCCTCCTGCCATTGGGGGTTTCGGTCTCATTCCTCTGCAAGAACATCTGCGTGCTCGTTTTGCACGTTTGTCTATTCGTGCAATCCTCAGTACGTTTGGTATGTTGGAAATGAACCCCTTTTGGACTCGGGTATTACCGGCAATATTGCGTCATATCCACCCGGCGGCCCACCCATTATGTCTGCTGGCCGTTAGGGGAGACGTACGAGATGGCCGTGTCATTACCATCTTAGGTACGACAGTGCCGAATGATTGTCCGGCATTAACACGGATTCTTTTTGTCTAACAGCGTCGACTTCCCTACCACAACCTGTCCTTCTGGATGCGCAACACTTAGCCCCGGGCCATTGGTGTTACCATATCCCGCTTTGGGGAAAACCTTTGCTGAATGTTGCGCATGTGGCGACTTCGGTGGGATAATAAACATAAGGAAACCCTTTGGAGGCTAGCTCTGGATGGATTCCCTACATTTTCTATGCAAAGGGCGCAACGTCGGAGAGGTCTCCTTGCTGCTTTGTGTCCATGTGGTGTGCGGATGGTTTGTGGGGATCGTCGGCATCATTTCTGGTACTTTTCTGGGACTGTACTGTTGCGTTGGTCCTTGGCGAGGCTATGCAGAACGAATAACCTATAATATAATTAGTATAATTAGAGTTTCCAGACCTATATATAAACTATGTATTATTATATATTCATACCTAGTCTAAATATATCATTTACTATAGCCGACATATACTAATTATATATATCATAGGTACCGTAATGATACGATTCTTTTGTGACACGCAATTGGTATGGCGTCCCCAAATGCATAGCAGTGGAAAAAGGTCTTAGGCAAAAATTTATGGGCATCACCAAACTGGCTGTCACAAATGTGTCGTACACCGTGTTAACGGTATCGACCAACAGTAAAAGCCCTCCAGAAGACGCTGTTGGCTTGTAGTTATCTTCGTCTTTTACCCCTAAGTTGATCGG